CACTAATAGGGGGGAGTGGGGTCTTTGATTTTCTTATTTGGTGATTACGTCAGCAATAATTATTTCCTTTTTTACACATATTACCCACACATTGTCTATGATTTAAAACGAATGCATTTTTGAGGATTCCTACAAAAAAAAATAATATGTTTATGTACAATTTTTTTGGGAGCTTTGCTTACTTTTGCTGATAAGAGGAAGGGGGGATAAATTCCTGTAATCTGCTTACGTAATACTTGAACGGCATATGAGCAATATTTAAAAAGGGATTTTTATATTATTGACATTTATACTTTTAGATTTCACCAATATGGGTTTTGAACTTACACTTAAAGTAATAAGAAAATTAGACCAGCACTAGATCAGAACTAAGAATCTCGATAATTCTGGCTAAAGTGGGATGGCGCCACTGATTAGCAATTGATATCACCCTTCTGATTGACTTTTTGGGTCTAAGGCATGTAGGTTTCCTCTTGATATTTTCTTTCATCGTGAGCTAATGTTAAATGCGCATGCGCATGTCCATTGGTGCAATACCACGACTTCAGGGATGAATGATTTCCTATATGGAAATAATTACAGAAAAAATAACTTTACCATAATCCAAAATACAGAGATTAAATTTATATCCTAATCGTATTTAAGGAACTGCCACAAGGACCAAACTTTTTAAATTTGTTTTAATTTTCTTTTTATTAATCTTTAATTATTATTATACAGGTTAAGAAAATTGTAAATACTGTATATTTTGGCCTTACTGATTTAGGAAGTAGGCGATTAAGAGGAAATCTCATTGAAACCTATAAAATCCTCACTGGCCACTATAATGTTCCAGGAATTGAGGCGCTCTTTATTTTAATTGAAAATACACACTTGAGGGGAACTTCTTTCATACTGAAGACCACTCAATATAGCACAAATTCCCTAAAGAACTTTCTTCCAAGCCGAGTAGTGGCCGACTGGAATTGGCTTCCGAAAAGTGTAATTTGCACCATCTTTGAACTTTTTCAAAAATAGATTGGATAGTTTCTCGAAATCCCCAAATACGCGCGCATCAGCTTATTAAACTGCTAGTGTGTTGAACAACCTCTTTAGGCCTTGGCCTCAGATTTCTGAATCTGTTTTATGATCATTTTTAAATCTAATAGGCAAGTAGGTGATCAGCCTCCAGTGCCTGACACACGCCGTCGACATTTTGGGTCTAAGACATGTCGGTTTCCTCACGATGTTTTTCTTCACCGTTCGAGCAAATATTAAACGCGCACATGGAAAGAAAGTCCATTGGTGCACAGCCGGGGATTGAACCTACGACCTCAGGGATGAGAGTCGCACGCTGAAGCCACTAGGCTAACACTGCTCTATTAATAACAATTATAGTTTTATAAAGACGTTAATAATATAGTTAAGACAATAGATCCTTTGAAACCATCTCATTATTGTACCGTGTCAGATAACAGAAATGCAATTTATCGCTTTCGCTGTTTTTCATAATTTATAAGATTAGCCAGCCAACGGTCCGCAGTCCCTTTATAAATTTTAAATAAGCATGATTTATTGCGGCAAAAAATACTGGATTTGTTCATTGTTACGAGAAACTAATTAAAATGTGACAATCATGTTTTTTATTTATTTATTAATCACCACGCCTTTTTCCCGATGACCACAGATTTTCACTTTTTTTTAAGTGAATCTTCTTTATCGAGGTTGGAAAAAAATTTAGTGTAACATTTTTTCGTTACGCGTCACATTTTTCGGTTACGCGCCATGTTGCTTTTTGAAGTCAAACTTCTTTATCGGCGTTGGAATGAAACTTCTTTATCGACGTATGGGAGAAATTTTGTAGCAAATCGTCACGTTTTTCAATGATAGTAATAATTCTATTACAATTAATGAAATTCTATAATAATCTTCGTAGTAATAAGGTAAAATGAAATATTTGTATTCATGTCTATGATAATAAAAGCCTTTTGTTAAACTTTATCTAATTTAACGAATTTCTGTAAAGTTGCACATAGTAGATCATTTTTCGAAAAATAAGATCATAAAGAAGTTTCACTTCTTACGCGTGTACACCTAGTACACGCACATTTTTTTTTAATAGGAGCCAATGGGCAGGAGGCTCACCTGATGTTAAGTGACACCGCCGCCCATGGACACTCTCAATGCCAGAGGGCTCGCGAGTGCGTTGCCGGCCTTTTAAGAAATTCTTTTCTTGAAGGACCCTAAGTCGAATTGGTTCGGAAATACTTCAGTGGGCAGCTGATTCCACAAAGTGGTGGTGCGCGGCAAAAACTGCCTTGAAAAACGCTCAGTTGTGGAACGGCGGATGTCGAGGTGATACGGGAAAATCACTTGCAACAGTTCTGATATACCTTTATCCACTTCCATGACATTCACCAGGCATGCTAACAAGCATGGTTATGTGTACTTTAACTTGCCACTTCTCTAGTGGCTCCTGGATTAGGTCCAAGTAACGGAAACCCTACCCAACCCGATTTCACCATCCACGGTTGCCTTGTATATGTCGCAGCCGACCAGCTTAATTAGCCGTTCAATTAACGGCGCCGTTTAACTAGCGGCCTGAACGATATTTAGCCGTTTGTTACAACATAATATAAACTGGCTGTCTAATGCTTAGGCAATTCGTACGATAGAATCATTAGGCAGAAAATAAAAGATGAAACATATGACATAAAAAAATATTTTTTTTAAAATTGCACTATGACCTATCAATTTTTTTTTCTATTAAAACGTATTTATTAGTACAGAATAATATTAAAACTGGGACAAATCTTATAAGAACTAGTTCATTTAAATTTATAGTTATAATAAGCTTTTGAGATTCCGTGAAATAAACACGCATAACCTAGTGTTTACGTGCATATTATTAATAATTAATAATATACATATTCATTATTAACAATTACATCGTAATCATAATAAAATCATTATTTATCCATAGAGATAAATAATGAATTTATTAATATACTAGACGACCCAGCTTTACAGTATATATATATCTATATAACAGTAACCAAAAATTTATTTTTATTAGTAGATTAGCTTAGATTATGTTAATTTTACAGATAATTTATGAAATGAAAATGAAATTTTTATACATACCCTTTTTTTCCTATACTTTTCATTTATTAATTCTTAAATTATGCACATTATTTTGTTTTTCTCACTATTATTTTTTTATAATTAAATCTTATTTATTTTTCATAAAAATTAGGAATCAATAGGAATCTCTTTCATTTGTATGTGTTATTTTTTCTAGATCCAAAAGAAATGTCTCCGTTGTGGTAAATAAGCTGGTAGAGCATTTTATTCTTTAATAAAAAAATCATTTTCGGGACTCATCCAGAGTCCAACTCATTCTAAATACTATCAGGAACTGTAGAACTATTGTGTGTGTTACTTGAACTCCAATTTTTGTGCTCTGAATACCACTCTTCACTTCACAGACACCACCTGCACATGGGCCAATAGCAAGCACTTTCAGTCACGGCTCCAAATAGACTGAGATCGAAAGGTAATTTTTTTTTTTTGGAGTTAAGTGATACCGCCGCCTATAGACACGTCATTTCCAGAGGGCACGCAAGTACGTTGCCGGTCTTTTGTGTCCTCTCTTATGTCAAAAAAGCTTAACAATGATCAAATGCTTATTTTTTTGTTTTCCTCAATCGAAACGTCAGTGAAAATTTTTCAAATTAAATCTTTACGCTGAAAATGTTCTAATTGGTTTTTAATTGGCAGCGAGCAATTTTGGTGAAGTGCTAAAATAACAAAAAGACGTAATTAATGAATTTAACGAGACTTTAATTTTTAATTATTCCAAAATTAAACTTTATGATTAGAGTGCTTTTCTCTTCAAAGTTTTAATTGTATGATATTGATGGACTCGACAAAGATTTGTGTATAACATTTAGTTTACCAAGCGTGTGCCAAATATTGTGAGTGTACATACATACACACATCCTATGGCCTTCTTAACAATAATCCTGCACTGGTCTCGATCCTTGGCGATCCTTGACTTTCTTCCAGTTCTTAACTTTTGCTGTGACGTTTGTTTTTGCTGTGACGCTGTCATGGTTTTCGATTCCCTGCCCTGCGATTCTGTAACTCACTTTTCGAACTCACACTTCTGAAAAGGTGGGGGGTTGTAGTTTATTGTTTATTAGAATGCCAAATCATAAAATGACTGCTTCACGACTGATTTCAGAGCGACCGCCGATGCGAAAACCGCGCGCTGTGTGAGTTCGAAAAGTGAGTTACAGAATCGCAGGGCTGATCTCCGCCATTAGCTCCAAGTGGTCTTCTCATATCAGTCTCTGGGCAGCATCCGAGTGTATTTTTATGTTTCGTAATTTTCAATTATTATTACTACTATGTAGGTTAAGAAAATTGTACTACTTAGAGTCTAAACCAATCTCCAAAAACTGCAATAATTTCTGATAACATTTTATTTGTCAATGAGAAGAAAAATCTATTGTATAAATAAACCTTTTCACCTAAAACCTTCGTTATACCTTTGAAAATAACACTTTAGTATTTCAGTAGCGCAAGTACAGAGAGCTGAAAATAGCTTGACAGCTCATCCGAAATATAAAGAGACAGTAGAAGTGTTGGACACTCCCTGCCGCGCGATCCAAAGCATTAAGTCGCATTACGGTTTAGCGGTTTTTAACCGCGTAATTTTCTAATCTTAATAGACTTAGCAATACATGCTTTTGTGTGAGGCAAAACAACAATACTAGCTCATGTGGTGAAGCCACTTATAGTTGAAGAAATAGCATGAAGCAAGCATGAAGTGTTTTATACTTGTCAATAAAGATATTATCCAGCCATAATAAACTATGCGTGAAGTGATATCTGTTTTTTTTTTATTAATTGATGAATACTTTAAAACCTGTCACAACAATAAGTGGTCGGCAATGAAGACTGTTTTTTTTTTTAATTTTTTAATCAAATAAAGTTGCAAATGTAAAAACCTTATATCATGTGTGACTTCCTTTTGCCATAATCACAGCTTGAATCCTTCTGGGAATGCTTTCCACGATGTTTTGAGGAAAACGTAACTCTTCTACAATGACTCTTTTAAGCTCCCTGATGTTTCGTGGAAAAGGTTGCACTGATCTTCCTCGTCTCTTTAGAACATCCCAGACGTGCTCAATTGGATTGACGTTAGGACTTTGAGCTGGCCAGTCCAAACGACGGATACCAACTTCATGTATGTACGTTTCCACGCCGCTTTAAAAAATGGAATCGTCGTTAAGAGTAGGTTAAGGACGGCCAGGAGGAGGCTTTTGGGCTGCCAATCTAGAGTTACCAGGCCGGGGCCCTAAATTATTCCGTGAGCACGGTTATAAGCATATGGAGTACTTCAGACAATTATGTTTAAATTAGTTAACTGAATCTGAAACTGGTCCGTCAAAGTATTTAATACGTGTTTTTTAATTCGTAAACGTAAAGTTAGTTTGACTACATACAAATACAGTTGTATTTGAAAACATACAATTTGAAATATATACTTTTCATTTCGACAGTTTTGTGTCAGAAAGTGATTTTTTTATAATCAATTCAATAGTTTTACACTAATAACAAATCTTTCCTCTTTATAATATTCACATAGATATATAATAACAATAACCAGTGACTTAAAATAAAAATATTAACACACCAAATTTTGTTGCAAAAGCGGTTAACCGCACGTAACTACAGTGCGACACATGCCCTCGCACTTTATTATTCGTACAAGTGCCTCTGTTTTACACTATTTCCAGAACTTGCTCATTTTCAAGTGTAGTAGATTTTTAATTATACGCCTGCCATAATGATATCTCATTAAGTCATTAACGATGTATCCTTAGTTTCATGTTCTTGTGAAGATATTTTTTTAAAGTTTTCGATAGCCATTATGCCAGAGGTTCTGGGTTTGATGATATGCTTTTGTTGGGATGACACATTTTTTTTACAGGATAGGCAAACGAGTCATCGCAGCCCAAAGACCATAATTTTAGTAAGTGCGTTGCCGGCTTTTGAGGGAGGAATATACTCGTTTTTTAAACAATTGGACAATTGACACAAACAAAAAAAAACAATTGGTCTGGTATGGTCTGGTGCAAAACAGAGGTCCTGGATTTTAAATATTATTTTGTTTGGATGACACACTTTTTTACAGGATAGGCAAACGAGTCATCGCAGCCCATAAACACCCATTTTAGTGAGTGCGTTGCCGGCTTTTGAGGTACATAAAAAAAACCAGTGGCGCTACAACCTCTTTAGGTCTTGGCCTCAGATTTCTGAATCTGTTTCATGATCATTTTTAAATCTAATAGGTAAGTAGGTGATCAGCCTCCAGTGCCAGACACACGCCGCCGACTTTTTGGGTCTAAGACATGTCGGTTTCCTCACGATGTTTTCCTTCACCATTCGAGCAAATGTTAAATGCGCTCATAGAAAGAAAATCCAGAAAGAAATTGTTGAGGTATATACTTATTTAAACAATTGGAGGTCGTATCCAGGGAAAACCCCCACCGGAAGTCAATTGCACAGTTCAATAGTTCGCAAAAGAAAATTTTCTTGTGAAACGGACCGTGGAAAACTTCCAGCCGTCAAGGTGATGAGGGTGAAATTTGGAGATCCCCGACAGTGCGAATTTGTATAATCACTTATATTAATATGAAGCGGTTATTTAATAAAGAAATCCATTATTATAAACGGCAATATATAATAGTGTATAATATTTGTCGAAACTATTTTCATCCTGCAGAAGAGGGCTATTCGTGCAATCTATAATTTAAAATGTAGGGAATCTCTTAGAGATAAATTCAAGGAAATTAATATACTTACCTTTCCCTCGCAATATATTTATGAAAATATTATGTATACATACATAGTGATAAGTTTACTAGAATAGAAGATACGCACAATGTTCATGTTGTGAACAAACGCAGGCTGCAATTTCCCCGTACTAGACTATCTAAAGTTAGTAATTCTTTTTTGGGGAAAGGGATACTCTTCTTTAATAAAATCCCAGAGGCTTTTTTATCTCTGCCTTTCAATAAATTTAAGAAATGTATTAAAGAAAAGCTGTGTAAAAAGGCTTACTATAAAGTTAACGATTATTATATCTAGTTGATAAAAGGGCCTGGGATTAGTGCTAGACAGGGTGCTTCTAATTAATTAGCGATATTTGTTTTAAAATAAGTGTTGTTTGATGATTTGATGAATAAGTGATACCTGTATCTTATGTTCCATAATAAATATATTTTATTTTTTATTTATTTTTTAATAGTGCCTTTAGCATAAAAGATGTTTTATAAAAACCATTGGGACCCACGAAGCAACTATTGTGGCTGATGAACCGTTGTATTTGCAACACAGCGCCATAGAGGTTAGACCATCGTTTCTCAAGAGGGGGGTCGCGACCCTTGGGGGGGTTTTAATAGGGGGTCGTCTGTTGAAAAATATTAGATACAAACAACATATAGGTTCGTTAAAAAAAGCGCGCTTTGTATATTATTATTATTTTCCAGTGACGGGGTCGCAAGACTGTTTTACTTAACTTTTTGGTTTTTTCGTGGGTATACAAAAATGGTTGAGAAACGATGGGACGCGTGATTTATTTATTTATTATCTTAGTTAGGTAAGGTTTTATACAGGTAACTATGAATGGGAACGAAATGGAGGTCGTAGGTTCGACAAGTTTCTGTTTGTGTGCATTTAACACTTGCTCGTAAGGAAAAGAGAAACATCGTGAGGAAATCGATTTACAAATTTGTACGAAATTTTCATACACTCACATTGCGAGTGGGTTCGCAAGTGCGTTGCTGCCCTTTAAGAAGTTGGGCGCTCTATTCCTAAATTGAATTGGTTCGGAAATACTTCAGCGGACAGCTGGTTTTACAGAGAGGTTGTGCGTAGCAAATTAACCTTACATGACGTTGAACGACGGATGTCGAGGTGATACGGGTGGAATTTCGTATTCTGCCTTGACGTCTGGATGATGAAGCTCAGCTGCATGTAACTATCAGAACATCTCCATGGTAAATGCGGTAGAAGATGCAGTGAGACCCCACATCTCTGCGCCAATAGCTCAAGCCCCTCTCCCCCAAGAGTACCCAAAAAAGACCGTATCTCATCCCAATCTGCTGACTTGTAATGCCACACGTGGCGAGCTGGTGGCCCGCGAAGCGATGTCCCGTGAACGGCACTGTACTCCGTAACACGCATTTTTTTTAATTTTAATCCACTTGGAATCATATTCACCGATTAAATTATTTACCACTGCATAAAAATAAACATAGGTCAGTCTGATATAATATTTTTAGGTCAACCAACTTATCATGTACATAAAGCTGTTATGTTCTGTGCACAAGAAAAGTATATTCGACATTCCCCTACAATATTGACAATCGACTATCAACAATTGTATAATATCGGCGTCCTCGTATTGTGCCAAGCTGTGAGTTTAATTTCCGGTTTCGTAGAATTCGATAACATTCAACTGACATATTAAATAGATATTGGTATATGAAGTTCTTCAAGCGGGCATGCCCGCTGCCATGGAATTTTCCTATTAACACACACAGCATTATTACGGGCTTAGAGATACGCGAGCTTATACTCTTAAGTCAATTCAGGGAAATATGCCATCAAAAACACTTTAAAAAAACGTGTGTTCCAACGCAGTTCTTCTAACGTAAGAGGTTGTGAGATCCATGTCCAAGTCGGTTAATTTATTCAGTACGTAAGGACCGTTTGTCTTAAGTTATAACGTAAGCTAAATACATTTTATAAAAAGTAAAAAAATCATTTAATCATGTAGGTAACATAATGTACTTATGACCTGTCAGTTACTCGTATAGTGACCATATCAATATTAAAAATTCTTTATGTTTTAAATTAATTTAGCCATAAATCACGTTTTTAAATCTTACTTTCAGTGTTGCGAAAACACTCCTGTTTGTAATATCAGTAATATGTCGAAGGCAGAGTTAGCGCTAAGCGCACGACTCAGAGACCGTTAGTGATAGATTAGTGGTTTGGACGGGCTCCCCTGATTATGTGATACCGCCACTTATGTACACTCAAAACCAGAGGGCTCGCGTTTGCGTTGCCGGTCTTTTAAGAATTGGTATGTTTTTTCCTTGAAGGACCCTAAATCGAATCCTTGCGAGTGGGCTCACAATTGCGTTGATGGCCTTTAAGAAATTGTGCGCTCTTTTCTTGAAGGACCCTAAATCGAATACTTTTGCGGGCAGTTGATTTTACAGAGTGGCATTGCGTGTCAAAAACTGACTTAAATGACGTTCAGTTGTAGAACGACAGCCGTCGAGGTGATACAGGTGGAATTTCGTACTCTGCCTTGACGTCTGATGATGAAACTCAGCTGCAGGTATTAATCCGAACATCTCCTCTGAACACTTTCCGTTAAAAGTAGCAGAAGATGCAGAGACCCCACATCTCTTCGCAAAGCCAATGGCTCAAGCCGTTCGAAAAGTGATCAGTCATCGACGACTCGAATCACTCTTTGTTGAATACGGTCAAGTGGAACGAGCTGGTACTGGGGAGCTCCCAAGAGGTAAGAACAGTTGGAGTTGTACGTGCTAAGTTTTAGTTCTCACTCTTACGGATAACCGACTAGACCGAAGTATCAAATCAGCTTAACAGTTGTAAGGGCATCTGAGGCATGGCTCAAACACTTCTTTTAAACATAAGGTTATCTAATGAGACAGTAAGCTAAGATTTAAGTTGGCACCTAGTAGATAGTACCGGTGACCCCAGAGCTGGCATTTTCCTGGCTCAACGAATGACTATCGCAATACAGCGAGGAAGTGCTGCCAGCGTTAAGGGTACACTGCCACAGGGACAAACTTTTTCAATTTATTTTGATTTTCTTTTTAATTATTTTAATTATTACTTTGTAGTTTAAGAAAATTGTTAATACTGTATACTTGATTGTTAATAAATATTATGAGTTCAAACATATAAAGTCTTATTATAAAACGTGGACTAAAGATATAGACACTAGTAACAATCTTCCTTTAATTAATAGCCAATTAATCAAATAAGACTGAGAGATATTAATATTGGAATCGCTATTGATTTTGCGTGGGAAATTCGCAGAGTTGAAAAATTTATTAGGTGAAATATATATGTTGGAGAAATATCGTCACTCCGTCGATAATAACATCATCATTAGTGGGCTTAGTGCGCGTCATGTGTGCGAGCACAAAAGACACGAATAATTATCGTACTTAATTTAGATTGATTTCTATTAACACTACAACATTTCCGACATTCCACTACTAAGCGTTTTTTAGACATAGACATTTATTACTAATAAAAACACACACACATAAGCACACATAATAACAATAATAAAAGAAAACATCACAGCGATGTTTGTCGACATCACAGGAGACCGGAGATCTGGCAGTTACCTTGGACCATTAGTCTAGCTATTCAAACGGAGAACGCTGCCAGTATCTTCGGAATCTTGCCTAAAGGGACTCCCTTTAATAATATATTTTAGTTTATATTAAGGTTAGTTTTTTATTTCAATGTATAATGTATAGAATTTATTAAACATTAATTACATAGATAGCGTTTAACAATATTAATATTGTATGTCTACTAAGGAATGTTTTAATCATCAAAGAAAAAAGAAAAAATATAATGAGAGATATAAAAAAAAATCCCTTTTTCAAGTGTGTAATGCGCGTGTGCTGTGGCTGTAATTTGCCCTAGCTTAGCCTTATGCTGAGGAGCAGAATGTTCCACAGCGCTGGTCATTCTGCCAGAGACCACAGCAGCTAGTTTTTTAAGGCAGTTCCTCCCATGCACAATTACTATGTGGAACCAGCTGTGACGAAGGCAAGAAATAAATGAGAGATAAAAGAAAGAAAAAATGAAGAAATTGGATGACGGTGGCAAGAAATAAATGAGAGATAGAAGAAAGAAAAAGGAAGAAATTGGATGACGGTGACAAGAAATAAATGAGAGATAAAAGAAAGAAAAAAAGGAAGAAATTGGATGTCGTTGGCAAGAAATAAATGAGAGATTGAAGAAAGAAAAAGGAAAGGAATTGGTAGACGGTGGCAAGAAATAAATGAGAGATAAAAGAAAGAAAAAAGGAAGAAATTGGATGACGGTGGCAAGAAATAAATGAGATATAGAAGAAAGAAAAAAGGAAGAAATTGGATGACGGTGGCAAGAAATAAATGAGATATAGAAGAAAGAAAAAGGAAGAAATTGGATGACGGTGGCAAGAAATAAATGAGAGATAAAAGAAAGAAAAAAGGAAAAAATTGGATGACGTTGGCAAGAAATAAATGAGAGATTGAAGAAAGAAAAAGGAAAGGAATTGGTTGACGGTGGCAAGAATTAAATGAGATATAGAAGAAAGAAAAAGGAAGAAATTGGATGACGGTGGCAAGAAATAAATGAGAGATAAAAGAAAGAAAAAAGGAAAAAATTGGATGACGTTGGCAAGAAATAAATGAGAGATTGAAGAAAGAAAAAGGAAAGGAATTGGTTGACGGTGGCAAGAATTAAATGAGAGATAAAAGAAAGAAAAAAGGAAAAAATTGGATGACGTTGGCAAGAAATAAATGAGAGATTGAAGAAAGAAAAAGGAAAGGAATTGGTTGACGGTGGCAAGAATTAAATGAGATATAGAAGAAAGAAAAAAAAAAGGAATTGGTAGACGGTGGCAAGAAATAAATGAGAGATAGAAGAAAGAAAAAAGGAAGAAATTGGATGACGGTGGCAAGAAATAAATGAGATATAGAAGAAAGAAAAAAGGAAGAAATTGGATGACGGTGGCAAGAAATAAATGAGATATAGAAGAAAGAAAAAGGAAGAAATTGGATGACGGTGGCAAGAAATAAATGAGAGATAAAAAGAAAGAAAAAAGGAAAAAATTGGATGACGTTGGCAAGAAATAAATGAGAGATTGAAGAAAGAAAAAGGAAAGGAATTGGTTGACGGTGGCAAGAATTAAATGAGATATAGAAGAAAGAAAAAAAAAGGAATTGGTAGACGGTGGCAAGAAATAAATGAGAGATAGAAGAAAGAAAAAAGGAAGAAATTGGATGACGGTAGCAAGAAATAAATGAGATATAGAAGAAAGAAAAAAGGAAGAAAAAAGGTAGAAAAAAGGAAGAAGAAAGAGAAAGAAATTGGATGACGGTGGCAAGAAATAAATGAGAGATAAAAGAAAGATAAAAGGAAGAAATTGGATGACGGTGGCAAGAAATAAATGAGATATCGAAGAAAGAAAAAGGAAGAAATTGGATGACGGTGGCAAGAAATAAATGAGAGATAAAAGAAAGAAAAAAGGAAGAAATTGGATGACGGTGGCAAGAAATAAATGAGATATAGAAGAAAGAAAAAAGGAAGAAATTGGATGACGGTGGCAAGAAATAAATGAGATATAGAAGAAAGAAAAAAGGAAGAAAAAAGGTAGAAAAAAGGAAGAAGAAAGAGAAAGAAATTGGATGACGGTGGCAAGAAATAAATGAGAGATAAAAGAAAGATAAAAGGAAGAAAAAGGAAGAAATTGGATGACGGCACAATTACTATGTGGAACCAGCTGTGACGGAGGCAAGAAATAAATGAGAGATAAAAGAAAGAAAAAATGAAGAAATTGGATGACGGTGGCAAGAAATAAATGAGATATAGAAGAAAGAAAAAGGAAGAAATTGGATGACGGTGGCAAGAAATAAATGAGATATAGAAGAAAGAAAAAGGAAGAAATTGGATGACGGTGGCAAGAAATAAATGAGAGATAAAAGAAAGAAAAAAGGAAGAAATTGGATGACGTTGGCAAGAAATAAATGAGAGATTGAAGAAAGAAAAAGGAAAGGAATTGGTTGACGGTGGCAAGAATTAAATGAGATATAGAAGAAAGAAAAAAAAGGAATTGGTAGACGGTGGCAAGAATTAAATGAGATATAGAAGAAAAAAAAAAAAAAGGAATTGGTAGACGGTGGCAAGAAATAAATGAGAAATAGAAGAAAGAAAAAGGAAGAAATTGGATGACGGCACAATTACTATGTGGAACCAGCTGTGACGAAGGCAAGAAATAAATGAGAGATAAAAGAAAGAAAAAATGAAGAAATTGGATGACGGTGGCAAGAAATAAATGAGAGATAGAAGAAAGAAAAAAAGAAAGAAATTGGATGACGGTGGCAAGAAATAAATGAGATATAAAAGAAAGAAAAAAGGAAGAAAAAAGAAAGATAAAAGAAAGAAAA